GATTAATAGGTGACGGGTAGAGCAGATATTCGGAGCAAAGACCTATTCATCTATTTGTTAGGACTGAGAGATGAGTTTTCCTCACTGTACTTATGGGTCGAAGGCACCAAGACCGGCCCATTGGATTAGATATCGTATTTTATTGTGTATTGTTATGTTAAGATATATGTTCATTGGTTATGTGATTAGACTGGTAGATCTGTAGGAATACCCGTGTTTGATGATTAATGAATGATATTGTATATGTCGACATGTTATGGTTTGTTGGGTTGAGGCGGACCAGCTGTTGCTGATGGCTAAGATACCCAGGGCAGCCCGTATTGACTGTAGGGATGCGAGGCGGTCCAGTCAGGCCGAAGGCCCAGAAAGCGGTCCAGATAGTCTATAGGTCTGCGAGGCAATCCAGTCATGTTGAAGGCTCATGTATGTATGTTGTTGTTTTTTATGTTGTGTGGTGGTACTTTGGGAAACTCACTAAGTGTTGGCTTATAGTTTCATATTTGTTTCAGGTACTTCAGAGGATCGGGGGGAAAGCAAAGGCGTGATTGTGCACATTCCTTCAGATTTTTATGTTATCGGAGTTTGGGATACTCTGATTTATCACTTATACTTTTGAAACAATGTTTTGTAAACAATTACGTTGTTTGAGTTGTTTTGAAAAATGAAAATTTTACCCTTATTTTTTGGGATGTCTGAAGTTTGAGTCCGTTGCTTATTTAACTATCTAACCATAACAACTAGAAATTAGAAGTAAAAATTGATTAATAACCACATATATAGACCACAAATAATAGTTCTAAATTGATTATTACCGGAAGTGGAGATGAAATCAGCTCGGCAGTAGGAGGACAGCGACAGTTGGACGACGGTAGGCGGAAGGCGGCAAGGGCAAGGGCGAATGCGAGTTCCAACTGCATCTATTCAGAGCTCAAAAAAATCCATGGTTTTGAAGACGAAGCTCAAGAATCAATGATGGGTCGTGGTATATTTGTCTTCTCGTCGTTTGTTTACTAAAGAGAGTGTCAAGGGGTGTGATTTGTGAAGAGGAAAATCAACGGAAGTCGCAAGTGAAGAAGGGTGAAGCTGGGAACGAGGGTAACAATCTGCACAGAGATTGGTATATGGGGGTGGGGGTGGGCCCCTTTTTTTATTTTAGTTTTTTAAATGAGTAGTAGAAGTAAAATAAAAAAAGAAATTGCATAAGGGCAAGTTAGTCGTTTCAATTTTAGAAGGGACCAAAGTCACAACGAAAGATGCTCAAAAGGACTATTAATCCAAATCTTTAAGGGTTTGGACGTTTTTCCTGATAAAATGCATACAACATGGGTCATTTTTACAGTTTTGTCTTAAATTGATATTAAATTGCAATAGAAATACAATTAGGCTCACGAGCTCGAATCGACTCAGGTCTATAATATGTAAATATGAAAAAGTGGGTAAAAACGTAAATATAACTATATTCAATTAAGCTTGCGAGTTTCACTAGCCGAGTATTCCAATACTCAAGCTCGCATCGATAATAGCTCGAGCTCGGATCGACTTCAAGCGGGTCGTTTTCAAGTTAATCTCGAATATTTCACAAATTGGCTTGAGTTAGTTAGATTGTTATCTATAACTTTTTGATGCTGAGTGGTGGATTTAAAGTTTTAGGAGTGGGGGCACATGCCCCCAACGGCCAAAAAAAAACGTTAGTTATTTAAAATTTTACTTGAATGTCTTTTTATGTTTTTGAAGAAATTCAAAAATTGCCCTCAACAAAAAAATTGTTGGAATCGGCACTCTTGATGCTAGTGTAAGAACAACAAAGTTTTATGTGTTTATTTAACGGCAAAACTATGAAAATTCTTTACGTTCAAATTTGGACGTTAGCTTTTCTTTTTGTTATGATATCTTATGTTCATGTATGAACCGCTTTGTTCAATAGCCGCCTTTTACCTTTTGAGTCCAAGGATAAAATTTGTTATTTATACTTAGAAATGTTATTTCACAATTGAGGCTTCTAAAGGAAGCTTCATTTGGACACTTGGTATTCTTTTTTGTTTCCACGCTTTTGTCTCTCTTTATGTAACTCGTTTTTCATCTTTTATGTAGTTTTTATTGTTTTACATTTTGATTCACAAGATAAAATAAAAGTCAATTGTGTGGGTGTTTAGCTAAAATCAAATAACATTCTACTATAATATCAAATTGTCCTAATATGAAAAGTTTTGTTTCATTTAATATGTGTTCTTAGGACCATGAAATAAATAGTTAAACAATTAATAGAACAAGGACAAAATGTAAGAAATAAGAATATATATTATAAGGAGTGTATTATTTTATTACAACAGTATTGTATTTACCAAAATAGTGATATATATATATATATATATATATATATATATATATATATATATATATATATATATATATATATATATATATATATATATATATATATATGTTCAAATGTTTCTAGCAACTATAGTGTGCATGAATTCACCAATAGGAATTTAGGAATAATTAAATAATTAAAAATTGTAATATGGGTAATTATGTAACTTTAGCATGATAATTAAAATAAAATCTCTTAATTCATGGAAATTACCATAAAAATCTGTTTGACCAACTATTTAACCCTAGCCTCTCATATCATACGTATTCTATTTCTGCCTCCTCCCATTTTCTTATTGACGATGTCGACGATGTGAATTGGAATCAAGGTGTCGAGGGTCTCCACCTGTTGCATTTAAACGGATTTTAGGGCTTTTTCCAACCCGTTTTTTGTTTGATCGTGAAAAAGGGAAACACACACAACGAGGCGATGAAAGATACACGAAGGAAAGTACGAGGCTGAATCATTGGGGGAAAAGGACTTCGATCCTCGTCTGATCGAGAAGGAGGCCCGCGGTTGAGAACGACCGCAAGGTCGATGAATGGTCCATCCCCTGTAAGATGCACATCCACCCCACTTTCAGATGTTTCATGAATCGATGCAGATTTTTTGTTATGTGGTGCAATTTCTGATTCTTGATCCAACTACAACCAAAGTCTAACCTATCAATTTTGCAACATGTAAGCTTCATCTAACCTATCAATTTTACAAGAGCATCGATTAAAGTCCATAAGTTTTTCTTATTCTGATAGATTATTGGTATTTCCAGTTTTTTTTTTCTTTCATTGTTTCTGTAGTAATCCTTGCCCGCCAACTGTTCACTAAAATGACCGAATGAAATTTTTTGTCCATTTCCAATGACTCTTCATCACTCTTTTACTTTAATTCAATTTTAGTATATGCACTCGATTTCTTAATCCAAGTTCAGTATAGTTGCATTTTATTTTAAAATGGGCATACAACTTAGATGATAAAAAATCTACAGGAGATGTTTGATAGGCTCTCTTCCTGAGACCTTGTTTACCTTTTTATAATATTTTTGTTTATTTCATTATACTGTAAGCTGCTATTAAGTTTAAATTTCTGACCTTGATTCCCCCTCTTCGTTTTCCAGTTTAAATACCTGAGAGATTGTCTCAGGAGCAGATTATACTAGAAGGTGAGACTGAGTTTTTATGTCAATCGTATATGTGTATGCACATCTGATATAAAATACATATTTGTAGTTATTCATTCAAAATACATATTTGTGTTAACATGATATTTTCCTGCATTTATATTTCAAATGTTTTGTTCGTTGGGTATATTCTTGATAATACAAATTCTTTAAGAATATTCAAAACCATTCTGCAAGAATAGTTTATTTTGTAAGAATATTATTGTTGTATTCTGATAGAATTGTAGTTAATTAGTTATATGTTTAATGTGCAATTGTTACAAGTGTATCACTACAAAATATTTGGCAATGAATTTGTGATAAAAATGGCTTGAAGAATGGCTTGAAGACCTGATGGGAAAGGCTCCTTGTATAAAATCATTCTCATGCAATACAATTCTGACAGAATGCCAATCTCACAAAAATGTCAATCTCATAGAATGTTAGCATATTTTGAAGTGGCTTAGAGGTCAAACATACACAAGACATCTAGAAACGAAACAAGAAAGTGAATGAGATTCTTTCAAGAATGCCGATATTTTTTTTGCAAGAGATTTCAAGAATGAATGTAGTTTATGTTCATAGTTGTATTCTTTAAGAATGAATGTAATTACTTATTCTAAACTATTAAACTTCGTCTTATATAAAATCAGTATTCATTAAAAATTATTGGTCTTGATAATATGTGTTTATAATATTATGTTCATAGCTGTATACCATTCTGACAGAATTACAGAATATCATTCTAACAAAATAACATTCTGATAGAATAAAATCGGTTTATGTTTTTAAATCAAAATCATTAATTATCCCATAAATATCGATTTTTCCTTTTTTAATTTTGTCTCAATTGACTAAAATGCCCTTATGCTGAAATTTATGTGATTATATGGTACATGTTACCTTATTGTAATATCATCGACCCTCAGATCATGACATTTGATTCTATTCCATCCGATGGTCCAGATCTGTGCATTTTTGCACACAATAGTTAGTAGAAACAAAACAACCTATCTATATATATATATATATATATATATAGAGAGAGAGAGAGAGAGAGAAAGTTAAGTTCATGTATTCTAACTATATTGTGTGGATATAAGATTGATAGTGAACCAATCAAAATTTGAAAAAAAAAATAATTAATAAATTGTTTAAGGGTATTTTGGTAACTTTATATTATCATAATTTACTAATTTAAAAATAAATGCTAGATATACGTAGAAATCCCTTGAAAAAAAGGATATGTTACCTTAAAATCGTACCACCCTCTACCACAAAAGGCCTCTATTGCTCCTCCTTTCCCCCCAAACGCCCATGGATGAGGCATAAATCCATGTCGATTCTTACTTGCCTCCATCCTGCGCCCTCCCCTACACTAAATTCAACCAAGCCCATCGAGAAATTGAAGAAAGAATCACGAAACTTTTTACAGAGCATATTTTTTTTTGTTTTTCTTTGCTTAAAGCAATGATGTCGGCCGCCATATTTTTATCCTTATGTCGGAGCAGGTCCCCGACGTTAAAAGCTTGCTTAACGCCGGTGGATCTTGAAAACACCCACCGTTTCAGAAACTTTTTATAGAGCACAATTTTTTTTTTGTCTAATTGAATCACTTAGCCGCCATCTAATCAGACCTCATCTCTTCATTCTACGGTAAACACCCACCGTTTCAGAAAACGAATTCTAAATCTTTGCTTCAGAAGATAGAATTGTTCGTTGTTTTGTTGGATTATGTCCAAGATTCAACCTCCGATTTGCCTTTAATGGTGATTTTGTGCTTCAAGGAGCTTTACCTTCTGCTTAACAGGTCGAAAATTCTTATTGACTACTGTGCTCAATCCAGTAAGCTATGGCTTTTGCTTCAGAATCATTCGGCTTCTGGCCATTTTCATGATCTCAATCGAGAATTCTCAATGCTTTTAGATGTTATCCCTTTGCACAAATTGAATACTTTTCCCAATGATGTTAAAGAGCAATTAGCTTTGTTATAAAAGCAATCAAGAAATGCTAAATTGTTCGTAGATAAACATGATGATGCGGGAAATTCTATAGCATCAAAGACATTTATGAAGGATTATTTGTAATGGCTCTCTTTGATCATGTAGACCAAGTGCTCGACGAAATGCCCAGCCTACAAGAAACCCTCGAATCCACGGTTGAACAGTTGTTCAACTGGAAAGAAACAAAGATTGATTGCACCGAATCCAAAGTATACTTTTTCTGATCTATGGTTCTTTTGTTGGGAATTATTTCGAGGTATGTTGTTTACAAATGAGTCTACTTATCATTTATTTGATTTCTACAATTTATTTCACTTCATATGATTTTTTCTAATACAGGAAGGTTTATCACCAATTAACTTAATAACTGAAACTGAAATGCATCGTCCAACCCTTGCTGGAAGGTTTTTCTGATACAAAAACCATTCTATCATAAAGTTGATTATGTTTTCTTTATGGTTTTGGCTTTGAAGATGCTACCATTGATGAGGAAAAGAAACCAGGTTAACGAAATATTGGAAACCAAACTAGGTCAACGAAATGTTGGAAACCAATTCTATCATTCACATCGGATGGGGATTACATAGTGTCAACATATGAGAAGTAGCAACAATATTCTGAAATGGATTAGCAACATATTATGTTAGAATATATTAGCAATAATATTCTATCAGAATGTATTAGTGTTTTACTTAGATTTCAATATTTCTTTTAACAAATCTCAATTTTATTCTTTCGGAAAAAAATGTAATTATTAATCATTATTAGTCGTATTCTTTTAGAATAAATATAATTTATGTCCATAGTTGTATTCTTTCAGAATATATGTAATTACTGATTCTAATAATCTTTATAAGATTAGAATAAATTGGTTTTTCAAGATAATCATAAACACATTCTGTTAGAATGTCCGAATTAACAAAATTATTATAAAAAAAATCAGATTTTTTGAAGTTAAGAGAATTAATTATTCAATAAAATCCATAATTTTCCTTTTTTAAATTTATGTTAATTGACTAAAATACCTTTACATTGAAATTACATGGTATTTTTCAGTTATCTTTAATTCAATAATATTTATTAATTACTTTCTTAAAATAACAAAAATGATTGGTTCACAACCATTTTTTTTTATAATAATTTTGTTAATTCGGACATTCTAACAGAATGTGTTTATGATTATCTTGAAAAACCAATTTATTCTAATCTTATAAAGATTATTAGAATCAGTAATTACTTTCTTAAAATAACAAAAATGATTGGTTCACAACCAATCCTACATCCACACAATAGATAGTTAGAACACAATAACATCTCTTTCTCTCTCTCTCTATATATATATATATATATATATATATATATATATATATATATATATATAATAACAATATAGTTGTAGTATTTGCTCCTAATAAGAAGTTTTAATCTTTTATGTGGATATGTAACAAATTAAATATGTTATATAACAGAACATGAATATATTGTTATCATATATAAATATACATGTATAGAGTATGTTGGTATCGTTATTTTAACTAGACTTGATAAATATGATGTGAAATGTCAGGTTGAAAATTGAACGCATTGAATTTTTTTGACTTTAAGTCCTAACCTTACTCATTTAATATATATATATATATATATATATATATATCACGTGTCGTGTTAAACCGTTTACTTAAACAAATTGAAATCTTTTTACCAAACTGATTTATTGTTTGTCGAGTTTGTGTCAACTTTAGGGTTTAAATCTTGTTCGGGTTGAAATGCTATACGGGTTGAAAGAGTTTGAAACTAACTTGACCTGTTTAATATTTGAGTCGTTTTGTATCAACATGTTTACTTAAATGTGCTGAAATCACTTGTCCAGACGTGTACATTATGTATCGGATTAACATGTGGTGTCGGTTTTGATTATAACGACTTTTGTGTAAACAACGACAAATGTAAAAGAAAAGAAAGTGTGTGTGTGTGTGGGGGGGGGGGGGGGGGGGGGGGGGGGGGAGGGTAACAAAAGAGTACAACAACAAAGAGTCACGGAACCTAAAGAAAGAAGAATATAAAATCACAGGAAAGTGAAAAGTGAGAGATACCTTTTTGCTTATACAAGCAACACAACAAAGTGTGTCTCTTACTCAAACCTTATTACATATATGATTACTCAACGGTTTTTCACTTACAAAGGTTGATTAAGACCAAAACTGGAACTGACATAATATCATAGTCGAAATAATGGGGATATAAATTATTAACTAATCATACTTTTTATTATTTGGGAAATTTTTTTGGTAAAGTTATAAGAACATTTGTTTTTTACTATACAGTTTAAAGAATGGACAACTTCAACTAATGACTTATCAGCACATGTGTAATTTTGATGTTATGAAAATAACGACCATTGTGCTCATTTTGCATTTCTTCATTATTTTTTTTTTGTTAAAATCCTTAAATTCTTAAGTTTTACCCTTTCAGTTATTTATGATTAAGATAAAAAAAAAGTTTAGTGTTCGTTTTACTTAATGTTGTTGTGATATTGTCCTATTTAGTCGTATATAATGGGGTAATTATCTTAATATTTAGAGTTTAAATGATATAATTAAAGATAAAAAAATTATTTTAAATTGGATAATTATAGGTAAATTCGTGTCTTGGAGCAAAATGAAGAAACTAGAACTAATCTGGAGCTGATAAGGACTAAAAAACAAAAAACGTCAAAAATTAAAAAAAACGCACCACGCTGCATTGAATAAAATACATATTCCTACTTCGCGATGCTAAACTTCCACGGTCGTGCAACTATGTTACCAAGTCTATAAATACACAATTTTACAACTCTAATTCGGTGTGCAACCCTTGAGGACATTAGAGGTCAGAAGGTGTTTTTCACGTCCGGAAACCCTTTGGGTCAATTTTGAAGTTAGAGAATCAATTTGGAGCGAAAATTTGAAGAATCAAATCTAGACGCTTTGCTTAATGATCGTGTTTAGTAAATCGTTTCTTATGTTTTCACTAGATTAGATGTACCCTAACGATTTGGTGTGATTCAATTGTTTGAATATTAGTTTTGTTTAATATATTATGTTTGTTTGATCAAATTCTTTATGCATTAAAGTTTTGATTTTTATTATCTATTGTTGAGTTATTTATTATTTAGACAACCAATATGATTGTATTAACTTGAATCTTGATTAGTTTATGAACAATAAACTGTTAGGATTAGTTTTTTACAAAAATCTAGGGTTAGGTAATAAAATCATAAACTTAAATGTGTAAGAAAGAGTTTGTGAACAACTTATGCTAGTAATTGATTTCATGACAATTAAAGTTGATTACTAGATCAAATCTCTCATAATATGAACTTAATTATAATTGTTTATATAGTTCATTGCATGATCATTGTGTTAATTGTGTTTATAATTATACAATTTAGTTAATCGGACCAAGATAACTAATCGGTAAATAATAACTAATATCCAGTGCACTCAATTGGAATCTACTATATTTGAAGGTGAAATCGAAATCTGTATTAAAACATCTTTATTTCTTTTGTCTCTAATTCTATTCTTTAATTTTGTTAGTTTAATTTAAGTATTAGTTGAATTTTATTAAAAACCCCTCTTTTATTGTAACATCCGGTGTTTAGGTATGCTTTTTAAATTTAATTGGAGTTTTGGAATTTTATACGGGGTGCGGCGCGACAGATTTAGAGGGTGTAGCGCGACAAGTTCGCAGCGCGACCTTTAATGAAGCTCATGGCGCAGCAGTCCTAATGGGCCATACCCTAGAAGCCTCGAGATTTGGGCATATTTAAAGGCACAAACCGATAGGGTTTCATTATTTCATCATCCTCAATTTTCAGAGAACTCTCCATGAAAACCCTATCCTCTTTATTGACTATTGAAGTTCTTTTGCCTTGTTTGTGAAGTTTAAAGAGAAACTAGAGCTTTATGGTGATTTATAGCTTGTTGTGGAAGAGATCCAACCACTTAAGTTCCTTCTAGACCTATTGTAAGTATAAGTTATCTTCCTTTGCGTTTCCTTTCTCGTGATGTGTTGTCGGAATAGAATTCTAGTTCCTTAAAATTGAAGTTCTTGGAGTTTGAGGAACTTTAGAACATTATAATGGCATTTCCTTGTCATTGACCCTCTGAGTTTAGATAAAAAGGGCCTTGCGTGTGTTTTCTTTAGACCGTGCTATAAGTTTTGAGCTTGGGGAGATTTTCATGGATGTAACGTCCACATCTTCGGGCTAGAAAAAATAAACAATAATCATAATTTAAATCCTCAATTAGGAATCTCATTATTCGTGCGTGTTGCAGAATACATATTATAAAACCATTTTAGTAATTTATCGATAAAACTATGAAATAAAAATCTCGATAGAAGATTATTTAGGACAAATAATCTTGACGGAAAATGTTGGAGTTGTGATATGAATACCGTACATATAAAACACACTCAAATCCGACTTTGTATGCAGATGTCATGGACTTCCGGAGTTTTCACGATCAGTCAATCTATCGTAAATAGTGAATCAGAGCTAGGTTATTTATTAGCCTAAGTAACCTAAACAAAAGTCGTCGTAGTCATTAAACCGAGAGCATACATATAGAGAACGTCTAAATCAGACTTCGTAAGAGGAAGTTATGATTTTTCTAAATTCCAGGGTAACAATGTGCAACACTTATATTGGCTTTTAGATCGGTTGATTGTTAGCCGAAACAATCTAAACAAGAATCGAAGATCTCGTTAATAGAAACCCGACAATATAAAGACAGCCGAGAACGGACGTCGGAAAAGAGAGAGTTATGAATTTTTAACGGACTTTAATAGTCTAAATTTGTTAAATATATAACTTTAAAAATAAAGTCAAAATTAGTCGACAGAATCTAAATGAAAGTTTTAGATCTTGTCGATAGCTATGCAAGGATATAAAACCCGTCAAAAACAGAGCTCGTATGAAGAAGATTTGAATTTTCTTATAATAAGATATTCTTCGTGCGTACTCGCGCACATTGCGACACCACCAGAATGTGATACGTGGCACCATGCAAATAGAAACATGTGACATGTCACCCACTTATGACTAGATGTATGACACGCACCTTATCTATATGCGGCACGCACTCCAATTTAGCCTATATAAACCTTTGAAAATCAGTTCATTTCTCATCCCCACTCCATCTGAATCCTATAGAGCTCTTTCCACCCCTTAGTCCCTTTTCCTCCCGAGTTTTCGCCCCCTTCGGAGAAGCCCTCCGGTGTCAGATAGCCAGTAAATAAGAATTTCCTGAATCAGAGTTCTGCCTGTGTAATTCCCGATTTTTGCTAGATTACTCTGCAAGTTAAACTACACTTATTTTATTTAAGTGTACCTTTTAATTATAGTCATAGTCGTTATTATGAACCTATAATTAAGATTTATCTGTGATTCCAAGTCATTATATTGATTGATCTACTTACGGGAGTGATGTAGGCTTTAGTGAGTTATTTAAAGTGAGATTTCTAAACAGTATACTCTATATACCAAACAGACCCTACCTGGTTATTCCGTACTTGATAGATCTTGATGTAAACATTGAGATTATTGAGGAATGTAGGCTATAACTATTATAGTCGTCAGGAGTATGAAACTAGACCAAGGCTTAGTGCTTTATACCTCTAGGTCTCTTTGGAAGTGCGAAGCGAAGCGCTGTCGAAAAATCATCATTCACCCATTTTTTCAAGTGAGTGCATAGTCCCTT